AGCGGCAGTTTTGGTGGGCAGGTATGAAGAAGGACATTGCTCTTTTTGTTTCTCAATGTAGTACTTGTCAGATGGCTAAGATTGATCATCAGAAGCCGCCAGGAGCTCTACAGCCACTACCAATTTCGGAGTGGAAATGGGAGAGCATATCTATGGATTTTGTGGAAGGGTTGCCAAATTCTTTCAAGGGGCATAATTTCATATGGGTCATTGTGGATAGGTTGACCAAGTCAGCTCATTTCTTGCCTAATTGCACTGACTACACTTCGGAGCAGTTGGCGAGGCTTTACATTTCAGAGATTGTGAAGCTACATGGCATTCCATTGTCTATTATATCGGACAGGAATTCGAGCTTTGTATCTGGATTTTGGAAGAGTTTTCAGCAGGCTTTAGGTACGGAGTTACACCTTAGTACTGCTTATCATCCTCAGACTGACGGACAGACTAAGAGGGTGAATCAGATTATGGAAGATATGCTTCGGTCGTGTGTTCTGGATTTCAAGGGCCACTGGGAGGAATATTTGCCACTTGTGGAGTCTACTTATAATAATAGTTTCCAGAAGACTATTGGTATGGCACCATTTGAGGCATTGTATGGTCGACCATGTCGGTCACCTGTTTGTTGGATGGAGGTTGGAGAGAATCGATTCTTAGGTCCTGAGTTCATCAAGGATACCTCTGAAAAGATTGCTCTTATTCGAGATCGCATGTGTACTGCCCAAAGTAGGCAGAAAAGCTATGCTGATCGTTGTACTCGGGCTTTGGAGTTTCAGGTTGGGGATCATGTTCTACTCAAAGTGTCTCCTATGAAGGGTGTTATGCGCTTTGGGAAGAAAGGGAAGTTATCACCGCGATTTGTTGGTCCATTCATGATTACGGATCGCATTGGAGCTGTTGCTTATCGGTTGGCACTTCCGGATACTTTGGATCGCGTCCACAATGTGTTTCATGTTTCCATGTTGCGGAAATTTCTTCGAGATAAGGATCGGTATCAGCATATCGATGTTGGGGAGATTGCGTTGCAGCCGGATGCAACTTATTTAGAGCCACCGTGTCGTATTGTCGACCGACGAGATCAGATTCTTCGTAATAAGGTTATTCCTTTGGTTCGTGTTCAGTGGAGTCATCACAATGAGTCTGAGCCCACTTGGGAACGAGAGGATGTCATTCGTTCACGGTTTCCTGAAATATTGGAAGAAGGTAAGAGTGAATTCCGAGGACGGAATTCCTTTTGTTAGGGGGGAAGAATGTGATACCCCTAATTTTAAAAAGGATATTCCTGGTATTTAATGGTATTTAATTTATTATTTAAGTGCATTTTATTTGATTATGTGTCATTATTTTTTTATTAGGTGCTTAATTGTTTTCTTTTGTGGTGATTTAATTTATTTAAATGATATTTATGTTTAGTTATTTGATTGGAATTACTTGTTAAGTGTTTTAATTATTTAATTGGCATTAATGGTTTAAGTGTAATTGGTTTAATTATTCTATGTGTGTCTTATTTTATGTGTGTCTTATTTGGTTTAATTGGGTTTACTAATTATTATTTTGTTCAATTAGATTATTTGTTAAGTATTTAATGGTGAATAGGGTAATTAGGTAAATACATCTAACTGGGGTTTTAATTACAGTATACATTAGGGTTTTATATTATAGCCGTCGTAAGTTTCTACGTTAATTGGATGGGCCGGTTAGGATTGTGAGTTGGACTTAAATGAACCTAGGGTTTAGGAAAACTCTATAAGTATAAGGTAGACGTCTGTGTAGGGTTTTTTTTAAACAAAGCACACGTTTTGTGGAAGTGGAGAAGGAAAAACGCAGTTTTTCACATTCTGCCAAGGTTTGATCAAAGCTCCGATCCCGCTTCGTCCGTGGTCCGATCGAGTTGAATTTTGGAGAAGAGGTTCACGACTCAGTGACGCACAATCTGAACGGTGGAGATCAGAGTTTGACCTCGGGAACAGTGATTCGTACTCGTGAACAGTAACTGGGTCGCACAGGTTTTTTTCCATTCTGCCCAGATTTCATCAAACATCCGATCCCGCTTCGTCCGTGGTCCGATCGAGCTGAATTTTGGAGGAAAGGTTCATGACTCAGTGACGCACAATCTGAACGGTGGAGATTAGATTTTGAGTTCAGGAATAGTGTTTCGTCCCCGTGAACAGTAACCGGGTTTTGGAACTCGCCGGGATTTTTTAAGAAGACGACGTTGAAACTTTGAACAAAAGTTTCTGAGGCAAGATTCTATCCTTACTCTTTCCCTTAGGCTTCATACTCTTTGCACTCGTAAATGATTCCAGGATTAATGAAGATTAAACCAAACTAAAATGATTCTTGTTTTGCTATGAAACTGGTAGTTACAGTAGTGTTGTATGCTTGTTCAACCTAGACTAAGCATGTTTGTGGATGCATTGTGGTTCTGTGGTTCACGTTTTTCCTTACCACTGCTAGTATAAATCATTGGAAGGATGGGTCTAGATGATAGCTATCTTAACTTCTGTAATAGCAACTGTTGGAACTTAAATACTAGGAGGATTTGAGTTTAACACTAGATCGGTTTTGTGGAACACTATGATTTGAGCATGTCTACATACATACTGTGAATACTGTTTTGATGCTTACATTATCACAGTTAGTATCAACTGTGGAGGTTAGGATTTTGTGATACATACCCTACATATCTGTATGTCATTTGTAAGGTGTTAAATGGAAGTTTTAATTAATTCTGTCTTTATATCATACTAAAGGGAACAACTTAAATTGGGCATGTATATGTTGTTGTTGTGACCCTGTTTATCAATACTTATTTTATCACTGCTAACATTGAATGTTGGATGTTGGAATTTAGTTGATATATACTTGATTTATTGGTATTATTGACTACTGGAGGATTGGAAAGTAGGCACCGGTATGGGACGATGGCATACTAAGGATGGGTTTGGTTTTTAAAGCAATACCATTACCCACCTACTTGGAATAAGGATGGGATTAACTAAAAGTTAAGTCCCGTGGATTTGTATTATCATGGCAACTACTTGTTGAGCGGCAATACCAGGGATTTTGGATGGATTTTATATATGTACTGTTATGGTGCCTCGGTATGAGCTTGAGCCTCAGGACAGATGGCTAGGGAGCGTATATGCATCGGGATATGTAGCTGGCTACGATGGTTGGAGGTGTACCCTGTTTAGGTATAGGTACATATGCCCACTTCGTGTGCGTTTTAGCATGTTACCTCTATTCAGGTTGAGACCGGCCTGTAGTCCAGTGAGAGTCCTTTAGTGTGACTATATATATATATTTACGGACTATCAGCTATTGTTGAATTGTTTAGGATGTACATGCGTATCGGGCCTCTGTTTGGATTGTAGTAGTATAGAACTTGCGCGTGGGCCTGACCCACTTCTATTTTTTCAGGTACACGACAGTTCCAGGCTTAGACGTGTTCGTGCTGAGCAGAGGTTTCTATTCACTCTTCCGACGATGTAGGGCTCTCTCTATAGTTTTATTTCTGGACGTTTATTACAGTTGTTCTATCTTCCGTTTGGATGTTTAATAGGGGTCCACTAGAGATGGATTCCCAAGTTGTAAACTGATGGAGTTTTGGAGTTTGGGTTTGATGGATTTTAATAATTATAATATTTTGCGGATTATATTTTTAGTTCCTTCCAACTTTAATTTCATTTCTTAATTTATTTTGTATTCCGTGTTCATTATAAAATATTAATTGTTTGATATTCCCTCGGGTTTGGGCCTGGGCCTGATCAACCCGTGTCTCGGATTCGAGGGGTATCTCACCCAGCCTGCCCCCCGGGCCTATGTTAGCTCCGCCCAGATTCTGATACAACAAATAGTAAAAAAAATTTAAGGTCATTCAGTATGACTGGTTTTAAGCCAGCCATACTAACAATTTAGCTAGGATTTACATTGGTGTGGGGCTGGCAATTAGGCGGGCCCTACCCAAAAAGTTTGCAGGTTAATACCTATGGCTAGTGTTATTGCGATGGCAACAACAAAAGTGTGGGTCTTATTTTATTTTATTTTTCATTCTATCTCTTTTATTTCTTTCTCTCTCTTCTAGAGTGTTGGATCTCATAATTGTTATTATTATACCATACACATGGAATAGTCAAATATTGTAGCCAGCCACATCAACAAGGCAAAATTTTGTGTATAGCCAACCGGTACGATGGCTATACCAGTTGTTCCAAAGACATGTAAGAATATTTTCTTTTATATTCAATTTATTACATTATGTGTTAAAAAACTATAGTAAGTAATAATTTTTTTGTCACCTATTGCATCAAAATTAAATTATCGTGCAACTCATATATGTGCAATGCAAGCCTCGTTATGAATTTGAATATGCAAGTATTTTTGTAATATATAATAGGGTAAAGGGCAATAAACCCCCCTGAACTTTCAGCAAAAAACACAAAACCCCCCTGAACTAAGTAATGCCCCCTGAACTATTTAAAAATTATAATTTAAGGACAAAAATCAATTTTACCAGTAGTTGAGCTAACCGGAGATGTGAGATTATGAAATTGTCCTTTTGTAAAAATGGTAGTTTGACAATTGTTCTTGCTGACTTGTCAAGTTTAATCTCAACAACCAATAATATTGTGACAACACAACACCAATCACCGACTTCACCTACCACTTCATCATTTTTGGCCCAAACAAAACTTTACAGCAAGCACACAATTTAGCGCCAAACAACAACCAGACCAGTCACTTGGTACGAAATTGACTCAAACTGAATTGATCATAAGGAAAACGAAAAATGAAACACAGATCGAGCCTCAAGCAATACCAAAGATCAAGCCTCGACAACATACCAGAGGTGTCGTAGTCAACACTTTTCTTCACCTCGACAACACAAATTCAACAAAAGCTTTGATTTGGTTTGTGAAACAGAAAATCTGACCCTTTCATTTTCTCACTGTAGAAAATTACTTTAAAGAACGTATGTTAGGGTTTGTGAACGATTGAAGATGGGTTTGTGTGGCGACGTTATGGGTTTTGGTGGTGGTGCCATGGTTGTTCCGTTCTCGATCTCCATGAAAGGTGAAAAAATTATATATATGTGTGTGCGCGCGCGTAACTGGAAAGTATATATATATATGTATGTAGATTCTATAAGGCTAGGATTGACATTTTAAATTTACAGTACAAGGCAAGTGATTATTTTTCAACCAAAAGCTAACGGAACAGTGTAATCTGTGTTTTTTTTACAAAATTTGAGATAGTTTAGGGGGTTTTTTGTTAAAAAAAAAGTTCAGGGGGTTTTCTTGGGAGAGAGAGTAAAGTTCAGGGAGGTTTATTGCACTTTACCCTATATAATTATTAAATGAGTTTGCCATGTATGTAGTTCACCTCCATTTGCATTAGGGCTGCAATTCGAGCGAGTTTGAGGTATAACTTGAGTCCAACTCACCATATGAAATGCTAAACATAAGCTTAATCATAACATTATCCTCAACCTGAACTACTCAACCCAAGCCCAACCCATCATTCTACTTTTAAATTAGGCTTACAATTCGGGCTTAGATTCCAAGTTAAAACTTCGGGTTATTTCGGGTTACTCATATGGCTAATTTTTATACCGAAAATTTAATATAATCTTGAATTAGTTTTAGATTAAATTACTCTTAAATAAGAAGAAATTTAAAGACTTTTTGTAAATTTTTAACAAATTACACACAATTTTTTAAAAATTTAATTCTCCTAAATGTTAACATATAATAAGTTAATATTTAACAAAAAAAAAAAAAAAAGTTAAAAGAAAAAAGTAATCATAGTTTAAATATTATATATAATGTATTTAAATGTAAAAATGTATATGAAAATACTATTAGAATTCATGTTCGGGTTGGATCGGGTTACTAGCACTTCAACCCATACCAAACCCTAATTAAATTTGGATTGAGATTTTTTAATCCAAGCCCAACTTCAATTGTAAAAATGATTGTCCAAGTTCGTGAAAATTTGGGTTGGGCTCGATTGGGTTCAGGTTACCGAACCCAAGTTGCACCCCTAATTTGCTTTGAAATTGAATTCGCGTGCAACATACGTGCAACTTATATATGTAGTGAAAACCTAATTTTGAATTTGAAAAAACACATCATAATGATCCTTACAACCTTACTTGTAAATTAATTTTTTCTAATGGATAAGGAATAATAAGTAATAATTATTAAGGACATTCATAACTGCATTAAACACTTGTGTTAGTCAGGCAGTGCGTCACCTTACCTTGCATTGCAGCCTAAAATAATAATTTATTTATTTTATTTAAAATTCCAGTTTCACAATGAGAATCTCAATTAATTCGATTATATTTTAATTAATTGCGAAGAAATTTAAAAAACTGCTTAAAAAATATTATTTGAACTCCATTTTAAAGAATTGTTCAATTCTTCAATTCTCGAGTTCAAGTTTTGAAATCTTAATCCCTAGGCGATCGTATCTAGAGAGTGAGAATGGCTCAAGGTACAATTTTTTTTTAAAAAATCCAATTCATTGTTAGTTTTGATGCAACAAAAAATAAAGATCTTCAAAGGCATGCGTGTTTTACAATGCAGGCAAATTTTGCAAATTACCAAATGTATGCTATGACATAATAAATTTAAATTAGTTCAACATTCTAAATCTATTTTATTTGGATTTAGTAAGTGATAAGATTTGTGGTACTTTATTAATACGATCTATGTCTATGGACTTTAAATTGTTAGATTTTTAATTATCTAAATTCACATTTTTAGCAATGGACGGTGACATACTTTTTATATTTCTTGCTTAGAAAAAAAATGTATTTTATTTGTAGATTATTATTATTATTTTTTACATCACTTGCTATAACGGATGACTTTTGGTTTCTTTTTTTTATTTTTTTATTTTTTTATATATGAATCTTTAGCAACCTTCAAAGTAATGCAGGGCCATTGTTGTTTTGCAAAGAACTAAAAGAAATTGTTGAGGTTAAAAGATAAATTTTGATTAGCCTTTTAAATGACGTGACTCTGGACATATATATTGTAAGAAATTTATTCTATGAAAACTTATTTATAAAAGAGATAATAGATATATCTCGACTTAATTTCATGTATTTATTGTTTGTTTGAGTAAGTGGTTGTAGTAAAAATTTAGTCACACAATATTCGACTTCTTTGCATCAAAATTATCCAAGGTAACATTGTTAATATTATTTCATTTCTAGTTTTGATGTTCATAATAAAATATGGCTCATGCTTATTTTAAATTTATTGACTTTATGAGTTTACTTTAATAAGGATTTAGTAAGGAAGATTTGCATTGTTTTATTTATATGATCTATGCTCTTTTAATTTTTAAATATTTTAATCTATGTTTTGGAGGTTTGAAGCTCACATAACTCTTTTATGATTTTAGCTTATGAAAAAATTAAATAAATTTTAGAATAAATTTTGAAATGTGCTTAATATTAGCATTTTCACTTTATTTTCTAGTGATAATAGTTGGATGATTAATTTAGTGTTTAAAAACAAGGCAAAAGTGCAATATATATATATATATCCTTAAGTTTCACCAAGTGAGCACATAAACAATTCAACCCCTTACATTTTACCTCCAACCACTTTCTTTCTATATTGTGAGGTACATTATTGATACTTTTTTTATTAATTCTGGAAGTACCCTCGAATATAACCGTTATACCCTATCTTCCTAGAAGAAGGCTTTAGCATTCCTTTGGTACAATCAAACCTATTTTTACTATCTCCTTTCCATTTGCATGTGCTCTCTATGCTCTTCTTCCAAGATAAGTTCACTTAAACATATATATATATATATATATATATATATATATATGTATGTATGTATTTGATTATAATAAGTTGTAATATATAAAAATTATTGTTGGACCATGTATATATATATGTTCATGCGTATTTCTTTCACTTTTGTCTTTTTTAGTTATTAGAAGAGTTTTGGGAACTAGACTATATCAAACGATTTGTAATGTAATACAATATAACTGAGGATATAATACAATTATGAAAGGTACGTAGTCAAAGTCTCTTTTACATATGATTTGAAATGTGAGATTGTAAATTCCTTTTTGGCTTCAAAGCCTTCCTCATTCCTCACCTTAAAATAGCTTTCAAGGATTTCATTTACTTGAAATTTCAATAAGTTGTTAGTTAGTTTTGTGTTCTGAATAATTTTTCATCTGTTCACTTGAACCAGACCATGAATACAAATGAGGAAGCGTTATAAAATAAATAAATAAATATACGGATGAGGAAAAAGTTAATGAACGCGTGTTCTCCAATTCTAAAAAAAAAAAAAAAATAGAAGAAGTAAGAAACTCATTCGGCCCAAGTTCACATAAACCAAGTAGAAGCCCACACAAGGAGTTACAACATTTAAATCAATTTAGGGCCATGTAATATCCCAGTTTATTATAAAGGACATTTAAGATTTTTCGTCTTTTATTTTATTAAAAAAATTTAGTTATATGGGGTAGTGTGATAAATACACAATGAGTGAAAAATGGTTGGAGGTGAAATGCAAGAGGATAAGTTGTTAGCTTTTGAAACTACAAGGACTAAGTTGCTCACTTTTATACCACATAGGAGTATTCTGCTCAGTTGATATAACTTTAGGAGCTTTCCTTACACTTTTGCCAAAATACAATGAGAAATACAATGAGGATCATACACAAACCCTTTTATTTGTGGATGAATCTTTACTGCTAATGTCATTTGAGGCTAAATTAAGGTATCCAAATGGTCATTTTTTAATGAACCCCAGTTCATATTTGAACCAAATTCAAAAGTTTCACTTACCGTCATTTTCATTTTTTTTTCTTGTAACCAATCTGCAATATTTTTTTTGTTGTTACTATTTTCTTTCTTCATTGCAGAGTCACTAGGAGAAGTTGTTACAACCATATTTACTGATGAAGAGTTAAAGCACATTATCGTACTGGAGAGAGAAGCAGATTATATTGACGTTGGATGTGGATGTACCCTCCGTCGTTTTGGCGACACAGCTGGGAAGCTTAGGATTTATGCCGAGGGAAGACTTGAGATATTCTGTCAGTGCAACCGCTGCGATCTGAATGAAAATTCGGGTATTGACACACTCCTTGTTATTTGATTACTCAATTCATTGGTACTTAATTATGAATAGATTTAAGTGCTTGTTCAATGAAAATTCATTGGTACTTAAGTGTCACCGATTGATAAAAATTTAAGTGGAGATGAGTTCACTCATCACCCCAACACACACACACACACACAGACACACACACACACAAAAGAAAAAAAAAAGGAGGGTAATTAACACTTAAAATTTGAACACATTCTTTTAAAGTTTCTTGATGGTATAGAGTATAGACTGAAGAGTTTGATGATCAGGGAATAAAATATCTCCTGCTGAGTTTGTAAAACATTCTGGGAGAAAAGATTTCAAGGAGTGGAAGAACCGAATTTGGATCAACAATAATGAAGGGAAAAAGATTCGGTTGTGGAGGACTTGTCTGTTGAAATACTACAGAGAAGAAACAACAGCACTAGTAGTAGAGGTTGAAGGGTCTCGCAGACGCCACCAAATTGTTCATCGTGATGAGTTTATTCGTTGTTCTGTATGCCATAAAGAGCGTCGATTCCCTCTGCAGACCAAAGAAAAATGCAGGATTTACCATGATGCTTTGGCCAATAAAAAGTGGAAATGCTCTGACGTGCCATATGATCAGTAAGTTTATTAGTTCCCTTCATTACTGCATACATGGTTCAATCAACACTTCCTTTCTTGATCCTTCATTTTTGGTAGGATAAATTGCAGCAGTGCTGAAGAGCGGAACTGTAGAAAAGCTAGTAGGGGTTGTCTGATATCTCCAAGATGCGAAGGTTGTACCTCATGTGTCTGCTTTGGTTGCACCATGTGCCGATTCACAGATTGCAACTGCCGCACATGCGTTGATTGCATCCAAAATGCAGCTCCTTAGTTAGATCTCCAACTCATGGATGATTGAAATTTATGTTTAGTTCATTTGTAACTTGGCTTAATAAACATCCAGTATGGGCATTCATAGTTTTATAGTCATTTTCAGCACTATGCATATGGTCTTCTGGCTACTTTCCTGGCATTTCCTTGATTTTTCGCTCAAGTTACCTCAAATTTTCTGTTACTTTGTGTTTCCTTCCTGGGAAGAGTTTTAAGTATTTGAAATATGGGAAGTAAATACTCCTACCATTCAGGTTCTATAGATTTTGCAAGTAGAAGACAACATATAGGAGGTTTTAAACGAAAATGATGTGCAAGACAATACCAATATTGCAAGAGAGTTTCAGCCAAAGAGATGATAAAAGTTATGCCTTTCATTTTCTGAATGACCCTTTACAATACAATTGCAATCCATATCCATATCTGGTAAATTGAACGATAACAACGGTAGCCAAAACCCATATCAACTCGAATTGAAAGAAAAATACAACCTCGTGGTAATTTAAGAACAAGTTTTGATGGACTTCTTAGCCCCTACCAATGAACTATAACATATACCAAAATACTTTTTATCACCAAAAACCAAAAAAAAAAAAAAAATGAGGCAAATAGAGAGGGTTGGGGGAAAGAAGAAGAAATAAACTTCACCTACTCCCTCAAGCCAAGACAATCAAATGTTTAGTGGGAGCATCCAGTGGGCAAGATCGCAAAGTGGGAGTTGATTCTTCTCATCTTCCACGAGGATTTACAAGTTGAGAGAAAACAGCACTTGTTGCGGCATCTTCTGCATCAGCATCTGTGCCGGAGTTCACCCCATCGATCATACTTAAACTGTTGTCAAATGGCTCAAGTGGAGTCAATGGAATACCAGGGATATGGTTTGTGCTGTTATCTTCAGGTTCCGTGAGAGCTGATGAGGTCTCCTCAAGCTGGAGAGCATATTCTAGATTCCACAAAACATCCCCCATTGAAGGCCTATCAACCCCGTGTTCAGCCAGGCACTTCTCTGCTGTCTCCCCAAACTTCTTCAGAGAAGTTGGATTCACCTTTCCCGCCAGATTAGAGTCCATGATCTGATCCAACATGCCCTTCTTTTGCCAACTCATAGCCCATTCTGCAATATTGACTTGCTCTCTAGGAAGAACAGGGTTTAAAGCTGGTCTTGTGCAGAGAACTTCCATTAAGACAACTCCAAACGAATACACGTCTGATTTCTCTGTGAGCTGTTGCCTTCTGAAGTATTCAGGATCGAGATATCCAAAGCTACCTTTAACAGCAGTACTCACATGAGTCTGATCTATTGCTGGACCTGCTTTAGAGAGGCCAAAATCAGCAACTTTGGCCACAAAGTTCTCATCCAAGAGTATGTTTGTAGTCTTCACATCCCGATGAATTATACTTTGAGCTGCTCCTGTGTGGAGATAATGAAGCCCCCTAGCAGCCCCAATGCAAATCTCAAGCCGCTGTTTCCATGAGAGAGGTGGAAGATCTGTTCCATAAAGATGGCTCCTGAGGGGTCCATTCGCCATGTATTCATAAACCAGAATCATTTCTGACCGTTCATCACAGTAGCCAATGAGAGAGACAAGATGTCGGTGGCGGAGCTTGGATAACATTTCAATCTCTGTTCGGAATTCTGCCAGACCTTGTTCAGATCTTGGATTGCCTCTTTTGACAGCTACTTTGGTCCCATCTTCCAGTGTTCCCTTGTATACCCTACCAAAACCACCAACTCCAAGAAGCAAGCTCTCATCAAATTTGTTGGTGGCATCCATTATTTCTTGGAACATGAAGAGCCGGCCAAGATTTGATGAAGCTAAGGAGATGCAACTTGCTGTCCCACTCTTTTGAGAAGTTGTGGACATCTTTGTCATTGTCTGGGAGTTTCCATATAAGGGAAGGGGAAGCCAAGTACTCCCCTGTTGAGGAGTCTTTGACCTGCGGGCTACCAAGAAGCAATAGCACAAACTGATAAACACCAATGCAGCAGAAGCTCCTACAACGGAGCCAATTATGATACCCATCTTGTTCTTTTTCGATGGCTGCGATACAAGGAGAGTCTCTACAGGTGAAATCCCATCCAAGCTTCTAGCTTCATTGTTAATCTTCATGATCTCCAGGCCGTTCAGAAGTGCATTTATGAAGTCAGCCCTTGTATCTGGACCAACACTAATGGTCAAAGTATCTGTATCAGCCGAGGAGTTGGAAACAAAGTCTTTGTAGTAAGGCGCAGCCAAGTAACCAGTTAAGGTTGACAGATCTAGGCTTCCAAAAGCAAGATCAGAATTTATGTATAGATTGAACACGAGAGTGTTCATAGACACACTCATGATATCGCAGAAATGATACCGGACAAAATAAGTGAAATTTGGATCAACAGGGAAGACCCAAGTTATATTGAAGTTCGAGTTGGCTACATTTGAATTTCCCATGGTTTGAGCAGTTGCATAAACCCAATTTGGTCCAATTTGAGGTGTGGCAGCAGCTCGGTATTGTATAGTTGCAGGGCTAACCGAAACACTTACAGCAGAGCTATTCACGTGAAGGTACTTCTCATCATTCTCCCAAGTTCTTCCAAGGGTGTCATTTTCAGCAGTGAGCAATGGACCACCCATATTTAACCGGTAAACAGTTTCAAGGGCAAATTCTGAAAGACCACTAAAAGGGCCGGAGGGGGATAAAGCAAGAGCCTGGTCAGGTATTAACTCATCAGGGACGGAGACAACTTCAATCGCGTTAATAAACGCAACTGAATTGTTCGAAGGAATGAAGGTAACAGTCAAGGAGTCTGAAGTCACATTGATTGCATACTCCTTAAACATATAAGAACCATTGTAGTTCTTGAAAGAGAAGTTGTTCAAGAGCACAAAATTTTCTGTGATTACAGTCATTGAGGCAGATGTCAAGTTGTGGCCAGAGTCTGGAAGAGGGTAAAAGTAGAGGCGGACCCAATGCCGACCTTCTTGCTCGATACCAAATTTGTATGATGCTGTACCCGGAAAAACCCGAGCAGATTGGTACACTGCAAAAGGGGCACTAGAATTGGAGGTGGCAACAATGGAATTTCCTTGACTTTTCAAGGAGATTGAAGATTGTACTAAATCAGGGACAAAAGTATGACCTAGGAAGGTGACATTTTTAGAAGATCCACAAGCAATCAAGTAGTTATCAACAGGAGTGAATGAGGCATGTGATCCATGACCTATAAACCCAAGCAGAACAACAGCTAGAATTAAAGGTACCCACTTCACTAGTTTCATCTTTACCATCTGTTAGCTACCCAATTCCTCAAATACCTAGAGAACATAAACTGCCCAACAACCCACTAACTCAAATTCCAAACAGAGGACACCATAAACTGAACCAATCAAGTAATCAATCCCCAAAAAAGAAACCTATTTAGTCTCCAATACTCCAAGATTTGCAAAACCCAAGTCAGCCAGGTCCCAAATTTACCACAAACAAGCCCTCAAATTTTCAAATGTTGCAAACCCAGTTCCCCAAAAACTCATGCCCCAAGCTATACATTGAGAACCCCCAGATCTATCTAAATACTGTTCAACACAAGAGATGGCTTCTATTTACACAAAAAGAACAGAAATATCGAAAACATCAAAGGAATAAAACCTTCAAATGACAAGAGCTTTTGCTTAAAGATAGAGTGCAGTTTGAAGCTTTATGACATAAAAAACATAGAAAAGATGAAAGAATTTTTAGTTCTCTTACCTCACGCAGAGAGTAAAACAAGCCTGACATATGCTGTAGGGTGAAATGGGATTGAAAGAGAGAGAGAAACCCAGTGGAGAGTAGATTACATCAATGCCACCATGAAATTAAAGAACCCATCAACAAACCGGAGCTTTTTAGTGCAACTCCAACAGCTCTTTCCAGGCTGTTAATTAGGCTGTCATTTACAGGGACGAAAAGGGTGGACCCACAAAGAAAGACTATGAAATCACATACTAAAATCAGTATCTTTGTAAAGACTTTTATATACTGTAATAGCAGAAAATACCATGAAGGTTCTGCAACTGAGGAGCTTTTAGATTTATACATATATATCGATATATGTGAAGCTACTTGTAAGAAATAGTTGCTAACAAGACAACTAGGTCTGGGACCCGCTTTTACGCGGATATGAGATACAGCGGTCAGAGATCACGGCGTTTGTTGAAGAAGGTTGAATGTGAATGAGCGGATTCGTGTGACGCCGTCCATGTTAGGCGTCCAGTTTCACGCCGTTAGCAACGTTTGGATTTGTGTGTGTTTTGAAGGGGAAAATATAATATTCCAAAATCGGATGACGAAAATACCCTTTATCTGCATTAAATTTCAGCAAAATGGAGTGAAGAAATTAAAAAGAAACTCTCACTTCCTAAAATAAATGTTCCTCTTTATGATTAACTTTGTACATAATTCACATTCCTTTTCTAAATTTTCGAAAAAATTAAAGATCTACATAGTTGGGTAGTTTAAGCCAGTTCAACTATTCCCACATTAACTTTTAAAAAGAAACTTTATTTTGAAACATTTTTAAAAGTAAAAGTGATATTTAATTTAAGACATGGGAATTTAAAAAATATATATATTACAATGAGTAGCTAGTTACAAGTATGGTTGCCGAAAATCATGAATGTGGGTTTTCGCTCCCAAAATATGACTAAGAACGTACCTTAAGCAAAATATGAGAATTAATTAATTTGGGATTTAAATTCCTCACTTTTTCATAAATTATTTAGTATTACATTCGGTGGTCAACTTTATTTAGAGGAGGTAAAAGTAAGAACAAAAACGATTCAGTAGCAAATTCAATCAGAATAGTCCGCGAGCATCAATTATAATTCTAGTCTCCTATTATACGTTAAAGAGTTATCACTTTCTAATTCAAGAGTCCATTGTAATATTTAAGACACAACTTTTTCTATATCCGTTAAAATTATAATCAATCTACTCCAAATTTTGATAAGACTCCATTCATTTGAATGATACTTTCATTAAGAAAGTATGTCTCAGAAAAAAAATTTGGTACGAATGTAATTTATAAAGAGACAAGTTGTAATTTGGTAATATAGATAAAAATGAGATATATGAAATCATGAATGAGTTTGAGGTAGACCTTGACTTCTCATTTCATTTTCCTTTCAATGTGGCAGCAAATGAGATTGTGAAATTATATTGAATATTGATGGATTATATGATTGGTAGAGCAAATGAGAAGCACATTGGTATGGTGGCACATGATTAGATGATTTAGGCCTTGAAAAGTTCCAATTGCAAATGAGAAGCATATCGGTATGGTGGTACCTTGTTGTCAGTACTATAAAATGTGCACTTGACTCCAGCTTGCAGGTAAATGTGAAATTGACTCCACCTTGCCGGTCAATTTAATTTATAAAATAAAGAAAGACAAAGACGAAAAAAAAAAAACCCACAAAAATATGACATCATTTTTTTCTGTCCTAACAAATTATTACTCCCTTTATACTAATTTAGATGTCGCTTTTGGAGAATAGGAATTTTTAAGGAAACATGTGGGACATGCTTTGGCTTCAAAATATGGTGGGTAGCAATAGAATCATGCACTGGGAGCTTCGTTACATGAATATGGCTTTTGAGGAGAGACACCGCCATTCACGTTGTGTCCGTGAATACAGCCGATCGGCGCGTCATTATTTTCTTTAATTACAAACTAAATATGTCAAATTACAGCTTTGTATTAAGAAGGCTATGTACTTTGAAATTAAATAAAGTTGACCAAAATTAACTTTTTAATTGTTCAAGTTTTCCAAAGTAGAATACAAGTTTCTAAATGAGCAAGTGAGTGTATCCAAAACAAAAAAAGAAAAAAGAAAAAAAATATCCTTCTTTATTGTAAAAAATATTATACATTTTTTTTGGTATTTTATAATAACCTTGGTTTTTTAACTTCACGTCTTTCTCTCTGTGAAGTAAGAAAAATTGCTCATCCATCATTTTTTCTTTTTCATCGATCTGAAAAAAGTATTGAAAATATATATATATATTTATACCTACTGTATTTTAACAATGAACGTCACCTCGTTAGTAAAAGTTGAAATTATGAAGAGGTTTTCGTACTCATCCAAAACACGATAGAGATTAGAGAGAGATGCCGTCCAAGTTATATAAGTATCAAGAAGATTGTTAAAGATTAATTTTGTTATTTAATTATTTAGGCAAAATTTTGGAACGCTCGATATTATCCTCATACTTAAATTTACATTTATTGCTTTATTGCATAAATAAATTTAAAATTCAAATTTATCTAGAAAAAATATATATATTACAATCTATTCTCTGGCAAAAAGATCGAGAGTGAAACTCAATACTCAAAAAAATGTACTAGCTTGGTTTGAGAATTATTTTTATTACAAAAGTATATTACACACAAAAAATAAGAGTATGTTTAATCTTTTCATAAAATGGATGGAAAAAAACACTAGAGATTTAACGGTGAGATAATGTTTAAGATGGTGGTGGACATGGCCAAGTAATTTGGTTTGATACTAAACCATTTGTATGATTGAAGGGCAAATGGTAGCGCGTGACACAGAGAAAAAGACATGAAAATGCAAATGTATGACTGTAATGCAACTTTCCCACGTGGGTGACGTCAACTAATATCATCAATTCAATTGTTTGTTTTTGTAAAACGAAGATCTCCTCTACATGCTGAGTTGACCTGACCTAAAATTTAAAAAAGTTATTGCTTATATCAGCAAGGGAGGGTATTTTAGAATTTTTAAAAAATAATTTGATCGAAATGGCTAATTAGGGAGTAATTTGCACTAAAAAAAAATCAATAGGGTTTTATTTGCACAAAAAAAAATTAGTAAGGATTTTTTGCACCTTTTATATCTAATGAGGGTGTTTCTTGCACTTTAACCCTTTTAGTTTTTATTTATATTTTAAATTGTGAAATTTATTTTCTTATCAACTTCTTTTTTATTTAAATCTTAATGTATTGCATATTAATACTTTGGAGAAGTAATTCCCATACTTGTATTTTTTTAATAAGATTATTATTATGCTTAGGAATAATCTTAATCCAAACCCAATATTAACTCGATTTTAGCTAATTCTTTCTAACTTGGGCTCAATCTTGAGACTGAAAATGTGTACGTGGATTTCTCTATACATACACTAATTTATGTGTGTGCAATAGTGCAATGTCTTGTATCTGCAAAAGTTTAACGGTTGTGAAAAAAATCAACCAATTTGACTCCCTTAGAGCAACTCCAATGCTCTTTCATTTTGGGCTTTCATATTCATAATTTGAGAGATGGGTCAAAAAGGGGCTCTCCAATAGCTTTTCAAGATTTGAAAATCTCAAATTTTCTCTCAAATGTAGGAGCTGCCAATTTTTTTGGCAGGTCTCTTTTAATGCACTGCGACGTGGTTTCTTCCTATCTCCCTCAATCCTCTGTTGCTTTTTCTGTCCCTCAATATTGTGATCTCTGTCGTCTCTCTCTCCCTCTCATCTGCAACTATCATCTCTCTCTCTCTCATCTGCAACGATATTTGCTATCTGCAACCAATATTCAGTATTCACATAACAAATATATACATATAGAGAGAGATAGATATATAGAAAGAGAGAGTTTAAGCATCCAATTTACACAGAGAGAGACAAGAGGACAACCCACGATCTGCTTATGCGATATCTGCTGTCAACCACAAGTTTAAGCTATTTCTAAACTTCGGCTGTGGATTCAACTATCTGGCCTTGGGGCCGCAGAGAGACCTAGCGGCAATGTCGTAGGTGAACACGGCCTTTGATGTCAAAAAGGAAGAGAGCAGAGGCCGCCCCTACCATGGATTAGTTGATTTAGAAAAAAAATTACAGAGAATTACAGAGCTTGATTAATTGATCGATTTAGAAAAAAAAAAATTTTAATCAAAATCCATACATACAAGTTAGCAGTTTTGGGGGGGGGGGGGGGGGGGGGGAGGCGATTGGGGAGGCTGAAATGATTTACTCTATATATATATATTAATAATAATATAATCAAATATATATAATATACATATAATATATAATATATATAGAAATATATGGGTTTTGATTTTCTTTTATATTATTTTGTTTTATCTCTCTTTTTTCTTTTCTTTTTTTGTTTTTGACCAGATATTTTAGATTTCTGCTTTATGTTTAATTTTAATTTCCTTCTAATGTCTACCACTTGACTTGGAATGTGCCTAATATTAATATTACTGATACAAATATGAATGCCTAATATTATATATATATATATATATATTTTTTCCTGTTTTTGACCAGGTATTTACAAAATTATATATTTTTTTTGACCAAATATTTTAGTCTCTAAACAGGATGGAAACGTGGTGGAAAGTTTTAAAAAGGGGGAGAATGTGAGTCTCCCGCAGGGATGGAGATACTATGCTAAATTGAAACAAAAATAAGGATTTGGGCAGCGCCCTATACTTACCCCTTTACCATCTTTATGTTCGGTACTATTTTTGTCTTCTTTGAAAGAAATTGATAATTTTTCAATAAAACTTTGACAAAAAAATTTTAAAAAACAAGTTTAACATTTTTATGCGAAAATTCTAAGATCTTTCAAAATGTATAATCTAACAAAAATTTATACGTTTCAATCTCTTCAATACATATTAGTTTTGGGCTTTGGCTAATGTCATGCTGCTATTTGCAAAATATATATATATATATATGTATGTATATATATGTATATATATATATGTATATCTCTCTCTCTTTCTCTCTTGTATGTGAATACATAATTAGTTTTGGCTAGTGTCACAGTAATAGGCCAGAAGGTTATGTGATAGAGGCCGGGTCAACGTGTAACGACCTGCTCCACCACATGGTATGATATTGTCCGCTTTGGGCCTGAGCCCGTACGGTTTTGCTCTTGGGCTTCACCCCAAAAGGCCTCATACCAATTGGAGGTGACAAACTTACATATAAGCACTTCACCTTTCCTCCACCCAGGCGATGTGGGACTGTGCACCGCACCCGTAGCTCGCCAGTGTGGTAGCCTGACAGT